ATAAACTGCACTGCGGGTGACGGGAGGAGTCAGGCATGAGAAAGAATTAACCGATACTGTTGTTTACAGCGGTGTGTGTGTGTGCTTGGCCCTCTACAAACAGAGAGGAAGCTCAGCTCTAGTTCAAGGATGGCCTATTGTAAACATGTGCTCTGATAAACCCTGCTCATGGGAAGCTGCTCAGACACCTGGCTGTGTCTCACAACCGCAGGCATGTGAGCCCCTAATGGAGGGACAATTTGGGGCACAGCTGCTCCCTCCTGGCTCCTATGGCAGCAAGAGTGAGCAAAGGGATGATGTGTGCTCATGCCTGTTCCCAGCTCTCCATCATGCAGAGGTGGGAACCAAGGATCTGAATTTTGGCACACATCAAGCCTTCAGTGTAGACAGAGCCTTTAAGACACCAGAGCCATGTGCACAATGCAGCATGAAGACCTAACACAGAGTCAGACCAAAGCTATGAAAGGCTTTTTGGGATGGACAGCGTAGCTGTTTCCCTCTATAAGCCACCAAGTTCCAATTTCAGTGTGGTGCATCGTTCTACATACATCCAGGTGGTTTCCTGAGAAAGCACAAGTTAGCAAATCCTGAAGCCTACAAGATGACACTGCTGTTTGCTGGCAGTCACACACTGTGGCTTACAGAGCCTCAAGACATCTCTCACAGCTGAAGTTTCCATAAGCAACACAGAAAAGCAATAGCTAGAATCAAGTCATTCTAAACTTTGCAATATACATTTAACTAGGAAGGTTAAATACACCTAAATTACAGTGTAATTTCAAGTCATCTCTCAGAAACACCCTGAAGCAAGCCCCAGCTTTTCAGCTTTTTCTAATCACGCTTCTGAGAAACACACGGAGCGTGCAGTTGGGGAAGTCACTCTGGCCTCTACTACACTGCTTTCAGACTGAACGTGGAAAAGTAGGCAGATGCTTCAGACACGTTCACTGACTGGCTCACCATGGAATATACCTTCCAGCATTTTGGACAGAATTTACTGTCACATGGACCTTTCCCTAAATTCAGTCAAAACAAGGAAGAGACCTGCAAAGCAACAATTGTTAAGAAGGACTAATACAAGAGGTGCTACTTACAGAGCAAAGTAGGGCCAGAACCCTCAGCTGGGTCTTAGTTATATCAAAATGCTCCATCGCAACTGATGCACAGGCACCTCGATCACAGCAGATCCCTGTGCCTTACACCCCAGTCAGCACTCCAGTACACCCAGTGGGGAACAGACACTGCTTTGGGGATTAGGCATGCAGGTGGCTACCAGGATTGGCTCCATATGCTTTGAGTCTGCTTAATGAAAACAGCTTGAATTAATTACTTAAATTAAAAAGGAGCAACCTCAGGTTGGGCTGGTTGAGGATCTGGTCTACAGTATTCAAAATCTGTGTTGTGGGTTGTAGAAAACTGATCTTATTTTTGATTGAGGCATACGGAAATAATTTGTGACATTCAGTCAATAGTTACATGTATTCTAGCAGTTCATCCATTAACGTCCAACTTTATCTTTCTCTGCTTCAAGATTTCAATTCAATGCTGTGATAAGGGTCGTTATATTTCACTAACTTCAGAGTAAATAACTTGTTGATGTTTACCACCTGAACACAGATAGAAGGGATAGCTGTAACCTTTTCAGCCAAGTCTTTCTTCTTTACCTTCAAATTTGACCATCAGTCCTGTTTCAGCAAAGTGTGTTCCCTGAATGTATATTCTACTGAGGACAATCTTACAAAACAACAAAAAAAGGATAAGCTTCTGAAGATAAATACGCTGGCACAAAATTCAAAACACAACACGAAGAACCCCATACCTCCTAATTGTGCACAGGCTGATAATTTACCACTGATTAAAGAGTTTGTATTTTTTTCAAATCTTTTTTAGAGGGAAAATTACTTCTGAAGGTGAAGATGTGCTTAGACAATCATATTAACATATTCAAACAATTGTAATTTGCAAAATAGTAATTACAACTCACTATCTGCTAGCATTAATCAAACTTCAAGGTTTAATTCCATTTTAAATATTGATGAAATGTGATTCTCCAATCTAACCCTGGTGTTGCAGGGTTATGGAAGCAGCCAGTGACAGAAAAAGAGGAACGTGTAGTTAACAAGCAGCTGCCACAAAGAAGGATCGGCATCTGTGATTTAAATTGTTAGCTGCACAGTCAGGTAGAGTGTAAAAAGGGTAGTCAAGAGGCTGTTAAGTCCATTGCTGCCAATTACTAACAATCAGGGAGGAGCTTTAAGACTTGTTCAGTACAATAAACCCAGTTTGTCTTGTTTCAGGGGTTACTACTGAAGAGGTTGCAGCTGCACTGATTCAAATAGCCCTAAAACTACAGTAATTATCAACCAGTCTTCTTTAGTGTAGCAAAAGTATGTTTTACCATAGCTTAACTCTTTACATTCTAATATTTCTCTGCCACTTCTCCCATAGCTGGCCCCAGAGCCATTCTGATGTCTGCTTTTGTGGTTCTAGCTGTGCTGGATCGGTGCTTTCCTTTCCCTTACCTACCCCGAGTTGTACAGCACTCTCGGGTTGGATGGCAGTGCTAGGATTTGCTTTAGAATATATTTTTTTAATATTTAGTCCTTACACCTATTATTCATTTTCATACATAAAGTTGACATCCATATAGCCCATTCAGTTTTTGCAGCTGATTATTTTAATATTGCATGGGATCTGATCACAGCATAAACACTGCGAGGCTGGGGAGGCTGAAGGCACAGCACAGTCTGCCTGTGCAACAAAAACAGTGCTGAAGGAAGCTAGGCAAACCAATGCTGTGCTGGAAACACAAAGCCAGGTGTAGCATCTGCCTTTCTCAGCGCCTGTAGCCTCGATGCTGTTACGTGACCACAACAGATTTCTCACTAGGAAGGTGGGCTGATTATTTCTAGTACTCAAGTGAACCACTTACATCATTACCCAAATATGAGCGAGATAGCAGTGATGTGTAGCATGTTTAAGGTTTGTTTATTCCTTCCCCATGACAGAAATAGACAAAGTTTCATTTCTATGCCATTACCACAAGCTCAGACAAAGTATTTTTTTTAGTCGGGGAGATCTCAGCTAAAACCACAGCTACCCGCACTGGACAATGTCTGTCATAGCCTGGGCTCACGTGATCGCCTCATTACAGAGCCAGAACACCTAGTGCATAGAACAAAAGCCAGCAGTTGATTACGGCTTTGATGTTGTTTTTAAGAAAGCTGAAGGACCACATTTGCATTCCTGCTGCAGCCATCTATGGAAGCTCAGCCCATGTCAGGATTGTGTGGTCTGCGAGTGATGTTCAGCGCTCATCTTGTTAATTTTCCTTTTAGCATATTTTTCCAGGATTTATTTTCTCCTGATTTACGTCTGAACAAGAAATATGCCATTAATAGGGTCAGTCAGCATCAGCAGTCCTTCGTCAGAGAGCAGCTGCTGTGCAGGGAGCAGAATGCAGGGAAACCGCTTGGGAAACATCCCAAGATCCACAGGCCTTTCTGAGCAGGGTCGTCAGGGAAGTGCTGCCCTTCAGACAAGGGACGAATGCTTTGGCACATGCTTTAGTTCAGCCTGCTTTGATCAGGATGCCAGCAGAGCTCCCTGGGAGCAGCATCTTGTGAGAAGTGAAACCTGCACTCAGCTCACATGAACAGAAAGGAGAAAAGGAAGGGGGGCAGCATGGAAAGGAAAGGGGAAAAGGGAAAAGGGGAACAAAAAGGAAAGGAGCAAAGCTGACCATTCAAAACCCACTAGAACAATCAGTAAGATTTAACTACATGATTGAAGACTCTTGTACACAAACCTAATTTGTCACACACTCTTCTGTTCACTTCTTAGATTAGCACAGCTCACTCCTTTTACATTTCAAATGCTACTACGTCACTTTAACCCAAAGGTACAAGTCAAAGATTTCCATGAGAATTTGACTCCTTCCAAGGAAGAGGCTTCATCCTTGATCTGTTCTGCCCTCACCCAGCAGGGCTCTTAAATGTGGAGGAGGTGGGATCCTGTGCTACACCAAGAGATGTTCTCAGCCCCAGCACCACAGCCTCTGCTAGGAACCAGCTCTGTATTTTTTAGGTAATAAAGGCTGCTATAAATCCTTAACACTGAGGTGAAAAGCACACATCACACACATCACCATGAGAATTTGTTAAGACAGCGGTAAATGCAAGCAGCAGCTCTAAAAATAAATACAGTTATTCTATTTTCCTTTTTCCAAGGCTTCCTGATCTACTGCACAGATCTGTTTTCCCCTAAACAAACACAAGGAAATGCTGTAGAACAGTTTTCGAAGACAGGACTGTTGAAGTCCCTGGAATTAAGACACCACAGCTTACGTTTGCCAAGTGACTTGTTCATAATCATACACAACATTTCTATTCCACCTCTGCAGGACAGCTGTTCTTTCCTACATTGTCTTTCCACACTATTGTGCTCTGAGAACGTGGCAGACATGAATCCTAACAAGGAACACAAGATGGTCTAACATATCTCAGTACTGTATCAGCTTAGTGACACCAATCACAACTTACATTTCAAAAGCAGCCCCATCAGAACAAGTGGAGAAGAACTCAGGCTTTGACTGTTGATTTTTCTGTGCCTTCGCTTTCCATAAACTGACAAGCAACACAGACCTGGTATTCAAAAAAATGCGTGTCTTCATTTCTGATCCTTTCTACATAAATCCTGCATGTGGCCGTAAAAAATCAATATATGTTTATACTCATACGTATGTGTAAATCTCACCTCCCCCCAAGTTAACCTTATCAAACAGCTGAGTAATGAGAATCGTTCCCGCAGAGCCCAAATCTTCCGCACTGACAAATTCCAACACAACAGCACACGACCTTTTTTAGAAACAAAAATAGGTTCTGAGAGATGCCAGTGGCTCGGAGTGGGGTTTGTTCTCAAGGGAAAAATTGTTTGAGCAGGACCCCAATAATTCAAATGTGCAACGGTGACGTGTGGTGATCTCTTTCTGTTCCTTTCAGATGATGAGGAGCACGAGTGGATCACCCGGAGCTGCCGCAAAGCTGAGGACGGAGCACTGGGGCAGAAACCTGGCCCATGAAAGCTGGTTTTGCTAGACAGTAACATTCCAAAGCAGGTGATGTGATTGACAACACGTCTGATTTGTCACTGCGTCTTACATCACCCTGACCCTCTACAGGAATGTAATCTTTTTGTCATCTCCGTCAGCATAAACAAAAATGGAAATAATCACTTAATCAGTCATGCTGAGAAAGAAAGCCATGAAAGAGAGCAGACTGCTCTCACAGCAATATTCCTGAGAGGTGTGTGCAGTACATACACACGTCATTAAGCCTGAAAACAATTTGTTAAAAAGAGTGCCTCAGATTCAGTGTTGAAGTCATTCAAATCCATCTTAATCAACATTATTTTCCCAGATTTTAGTTAGCTGTCCTGGTGAATTCCTTTCCTCTCTTTTTGCTCAGTACTTTGATATTGATTGATCATTGTAATAATGTACACCAGAGGTATTCTTTAATGACTGGTTTGCTAACTAGGAAATTATATCCATTTACTACGAACATTTGTTGAACTCTCCTGAAGCCGGAATTTAACAAAATAATAAAAGAGGAGAACTGGGTGGGTTGCTGCTTGATTAGTAAGGCAGAAAGTATTTAAAAAATAAAATAAAATGGAATTACATCATTTTCTGGATGTAAGTGCCAGCACTTCTACTTGCATTAACTTTATTTATTACACAAATAAGACATTTACAAAGCACAACATTAAAAGTATGTAACAAAACAGACATTGGTTTTACAAAAAAGTGCTTACAATTTAGTTTTAATTTTTAAAATAAATTAGTCTTGACTGTCCACTCGTTCAGAGAATTTTTTAACCATTGTAGCCAAGACATGCATAATTGCAACATGCTACAACAAAATGATTGGCTGACAAAACAAAACCAATGTTTCTATAGTTGGCATCCTACAGATGTATCACTGATAGCAGGGCAGGATTGAATCCTGCTCCCCGTCCAACCAGTGAGTTGTGTAAGCACCTTTAGCTGGGCGTGGGGGTTAACCAGCATGAGCCAAAATAAAAAAGAATTGGTAATCATCCCGTAAACCATTCCTATTTCAGACCCTCACCGTATTCAGATACCTTATTCAACTCAAGTGAAAAGCCTCTTGCTGCCTGTCTTCACTGGATTTTTGTCTGCAAAAGTTTTTGGAAATAGCAACTGCAGAAGTTTATTACGTGGAGTCTACGTTGCTGCACCAGAACCCATTTGGCAATTACTGAATAAACTAAGAAAATGGGAATGATTTTACTTTATTTTTTGCTTTTAATCTACAGACAGGAGATGAATGCAAATGACCTGAGATAAGGTTTGGTTCAGTGGCAACAGTCAGCATGAAATAGATCGTGAAACAATGTATTGAATAAATTAGAGGATTTCTTACATTCTTGGTACAGTTGAGTATTTTCCATACACATAATTAGCTCTAAAACTGCACAAGCTGAATTGCTTCCAGTTTTTTGCAAACAGTTTGGGCTTGATATAAACAGAGCCTGATTTCTGAATTAGCAAAGCTGCTCGTGGCTACCTGTGGGAAGCTGCCCTCAGCCCGTGCTGCACAGCGATGCTCCCCGCTGCGCCTGCCCTCCCCAGCCCATGCATTACAGCCACTCCCAACAGCGGCGTCCATCTCACAACTCGGACGTACAGTGTGATTCTCAAGTGGTTTGTCATCAGCAACTCAGCTGATAGTTTGCAGATATGTGTTTAACAGCCTCTCTTTCGTGGCACTGCTGAGACAGAAGATAAATACAAGAGACCGCTTTCTCCCTCAAAAAACCATTGTGGGAATCTCAAGCGCTGCGGGCCGTCAGGTCACCTCACAGCCTGAGGTCTCTCCTTCAGCCTCAGCTTGGACCTGTTAGCTACCCGTCTGCTAACAGCTCCAATTCCACAGCCTAACAATCACTCGAACGCACAAGCTCAAATTGAGGAGGAGTGGGGCCCTGGTGACCCCCGAACCAGCAGCTCTGTGCACACACAGCAACATGCAGGAAGCAAAGAGCTCTGCTCACAGCCCATGGAGGTGTGCTGGGCCTGTGCTCACCGCTACAAGCAGGGAGAAGGGACACAAACGCAGCACCTTGGGGCTGCTCCTGCCCAAGGAGATGCTGGGGAGCAGTGCCTCCTGCCAGGCCACGCACAGGGTGTGCTTGGGCACACACTGGGAGTAGATATTCACACGTCAGATGGTGACAGTAGCACTTTGCGGACCTAATTTCCTCTCTCCTTCCAAATGTTATTTCAGACTGAGAATGGAGCTGCTAGCTGTTGGCTGCAATTAGAACACTGGCCTAGCTGTCCAAATATTACAGCAGTCTCTCTTTTACATACACACACACACATACACACAGAGGTGTGTGTATGTATTTCTTTCAGGATATCAACACGTGCTGGTGTTCAGCTATTTCTCCAACCAAGAGAACTCGGTGCCCACCCAGCAGACGCAGTGTGAGCCAGTGCCACCAGCTCACCATGCAGGGCTGATGCTGGAAATTGATCTCCAGAGAGAAAAACACGAGTATCTACGGCTTGAATTAAAAACAAGTTACATAACTGATAGATTCCTGTCTTCTGCTCCTCAGGCACAGCTCAGTCACGTTACGCACTGACTGTGGCTCATTGCAGGCTTTCACATTCTCGGAAATGCTGCCTCCTGAAAGTAAGCAGCAAGACAGACCCATGTGCTCCCATGGAGAGGGGCTTTGTTAGCAACCTTGGCTCTTGGCTCAGTGCAAGCTGAGAAGGGCTGGCAAATGCTAGCTGTTTACTTTTTGTTATTACCATCAATGAAGTATCATTTCAGAGCTTTTTTCCTGATCTGCAGCCAGACGGCCGAGTACTTCCTTTGTTGTTGCCATGAGACTGCCCCAAGGGTGAGCCCCACACGCCTGCTCCTCCGTGCACAACCGGTCAGGACTGTGCCTCATCCAGGGACCTGGCAGGAGCAGCTGCCTTGCTCTGGTAAGGGATAGGGGTGAGCAGGTGCTGCCAGATGGAGGAACACGCATTGCCTCGCTGCTCTCAGTCTGCTGCCTGCCGGCCTCACTGCTGGCAGAACTTCCCTGGCTGCTCCCCGGTCCCTCCCTGCTCTTCTCACTAACTGAGCCCAGAGCTGGGCCCCTCTCCTGGGGTCCACGCCAGAGCAAGTCACTTCTACACATCTACTGGTGAGCTTCCCTTAAGGATTTCTCAGTCCCAGTGTATGGAGCACCTAAGAGTTTGGTGTAGATACATTCCCAAATCACCCATTCATCATCCAACATGACTTAAAGGAAATAAAGTAGCTTGTTAATAAGAAACGAGAATAATAACAATAAAAAGATTTGGCAAATGGCTGTGAGAGGAGAGACAGTCGGTGCTCTGAGAATAAGTCAGCAATTAAAACCTTCAGAGTGCCAAGCCTGGCTCTGCCACCGACCAACCCTACCACTCCTTTCAGTTCAGGACATCTCCATATCCCCTCCTATGAAATGGGGGGAACACTAAGATTTACTTACCTTACAGAGTGATCAAAGGGCATGTGATTCTAAAGCACTTTGAGAAGGAAGAAAAACTGCCTATTTCCAGCTGGCATCGTGTTTTCCACTTAGTGGAGTCACAGCTACCTGTGACTTTGGCTCAGGAGTCCTCCGTGTACTCTGAGTTGCTGAGCCAGAGCCCATTTCAAGTCTCACACATGCGAGTGTAAATGAGGAGGGATGTCCGGGAACCAACAGTGCTTCACTGGTGCAAAAAGAGAATCAGGCCAAACTGTGTAAATTCCTCCTTTCTTTATATTCGTGGGTGATCATCCAACCCCCCGTGACTCAGCGTGTACTGATGTGTTCACGTGCCCACGGCTTGGGAGCAAGGTTTGTAAGCACAGCAGTCACTCATTTGGGCTGTGTCTGGCATTGTCTTGGAGAGACTCACTGTCATTCTACAAGTCCACAAGAAACAAGTGAAAAATGCAACTCTGCACTTGACACACACATACACAGAGTGTTGCTGGAGAAATAAGAGTGGAGTTAGATGCTGGTCAATGGGAATAACCGAGAATGCCGAATCTGAGTTTCTCCTGCATGACTGAGAACAGTTGCCTTGGGCTGGACACTGCGTTTCAGCGACTGAGGGGCAGTGGTGCTGGGAGCGCCATGGGCAGGCGAGGAAGAGCTTGCGGAGTCAGTACTGAAAGAGGATGACCTGGGGGAGAAACAGGAACCAAGCGTTAGCTGCTTCCAGAGACAAGCGGCCCTCACAGCAGAAATGGGATCTCAGGGAGCAGCCAGGCAGCACGCACCCAGCTGAAGCAGGGCAGCCACCTTCACTGAGGGACAAGCTCTTTTGAGCCATTGTTGTCCCCAGTCCTGCTCCTAGAACAGAGCCTGCAGGGAACACAGGTTTCTGGAATTCACCATGGAAGGAATTGTTTGGAAAAGGAATTTGGAAGGCAGCTCTATGTCCTGAGAACCCAGTCCTGCAACATCTGCAAGCAAGCAATAGCATTTAAGTCACAGGAGCTAGCTGCTGCTGCAGAGTCTCTTTGAATGACAGCATCAGAACCGCATAATAATTCTGAAAACTCCGCAGTTTCTGTGGTGATAAAGTCATGATAAAATGATAGCACTCTGACCAAGCAGTAACCTTGCTGTGCCCCTGCCTCTGCTTGTCAAAACATAGCTCAATAATCTCTGGTTGCTGCACTAAACAGAAAGAGATGCTGAGAACTTCTAAAAGATGAAAGCTAAAATGATGCCAAAGGCTCAGCATTTCCTCAAAATGAAACCACTTAAATTGAGATCCCAAGCACATATGCAACAGTTCAGTAGCCTTGCCCCCAGATGAGCACTATGTAAGAATGGACAGATGCTGAGGGGCTCAACAGCAAAATATCAATGCATGTTTCTTAGTGAGACGTTGTGAAATAACATTCCGATTCATGATACAGTAACAGCCAGTTGTTATTTTTTGAGCAATTCTGGAATTCCCAAGAAATGAACCTTTCCTGTTAACTCATGGAAAGCTGTGCAGACAGAGAGCCAGCAGCACTGGGGGAAGGGAGAACCGGGCACAGAGGAGCTCAGGCAGGAGGTCACGAGACCCCAGGGCATCTCAGCACACCACGACATTGTGGGGCATTCAGTGCAGAACGCAGTGGTGCCATTTACCGACAGTCATTCTAAGGCCACCAAAATGAAGGAAACACAGCCAAGAGCCGGCGGCTGCCAGATCACAGAGTGCTGCTCACAAGAGCCAGCGGTGGCACTGATAGGACACAAAAGCTGCTGCTACAGGAGGAGGTTGGCCCCAAACCGGCAGCATTACCTTCTCGCCCCTATTCGATAGCGGTCCTTCCATGTCTGCTTTGAGGTGCACTGGAGGAGCCGTGTAGGGAAGTCTACAGTGCACTTGTCCACACTGTACCTGACCTGTGGAGGAGAAAGGCCTCAGCCCCGTGCCCACAGCCAGCCCCACAGCGCGGCCTGGCCAGGGGGCTCTGAGGGGACATCGCCAGGCTGGGGCTCGCCAGGGCCCTGTCCCTCTGTGGGGGGTGAGGGTGAGGAGAAGCTTTGTGGGCTCACAGAGCCCAGGCGCTCCGTCCCGCTCGCCCTTCTGCCATAACACAGCTCGCAGGCGCTCCATCATGGCCTGGCGGTGAAACAGGCAGCCTGCGAGCGGGCTGCTCGCTGTGGAAAACACAGGAAGGCCTGCAGCGGTAACGCCAAGGAGAGGAGCTCTGTGGGGCCCAGCTGTGCCCCCCCCGGCCCCGCACTCACTCTCAATGTATCCATGCAGTGTCACCATGCGGGCCCTCTCCGGGCTGCTGAAGGGCGAATAGTGGATGTCCTCGGCGAGGGAGGAGGGGATGCGGGGCGGGGGGGGCCCCGAGGGCGGCACCGTGTGCTGGGGAGTGTGTTTTTTATGGCGGGCTCGGCAGTTCTGGAACCAAACCTGCAATGAAAGCAGAGGACACTGAGGGAGGAGGGCAGCGGGCTGAGCTGCGCTCACACACGGGGAGCCGTCGCCTCGCACACAGACCCACAACAGCCACCTCTGCAGTCACAAAAGGAACCGTGTGTGGAAATGCCCACACAAACACCGCGACAGCGTCCGCTGGTCCCACAGCGTTTCACTGCAGCTGAGAAATGCCGGTGGTGCAGGAGACAGCCCTGCTCCGTCCCACCGGCAGCCACGACTGTGTCTCACTGCTGTTAATTAAAGCAATGGTTTGGGGTTACGCCCTAGAACTAAAACATGAGTGGAAGTTTTTCCATGCCAGTGTGGTGTTTTCTTTCTTAAGCTTTAATTTCTTTAGGAAAATTGGGAGCAAAATCCTTCCACAAGTCACAGCACGGAGCAGTGCCCTGAGGCCACGCAACGGCCACAGCAAGGAAACAGCCAC